TCCCACCTTCTCATGCAGTAGGTGAGCCAGAAGAACGCCAACCATCTTCCCACCTTAACAGTTTCGGCCAGAAGAACGCCAAGTTCGCCAACCACCTTCCCACCTTAACGGTTTCGGCCAAAGAACGCCAAGCTCGCCAACCACCTTCCCACCTTAACAGTTTCGGAGCTGGCGAGGAGACTCCGTTAGATATACAACGTGAAGTGAAATGCACTTCTCACGAGTCACGTTTGGTAAAAAAGGTGGAGACGTGGCAAAAAGAAAATGCCACGTCACCATCTTTCCCTCCTCTTACCCTCCTCCTCCTCCTCACTGTCCTCTCTGACCTCGCTCCTCCTTCATTTGCTCCCTCACTCCATCCTCTCTCCTTCCTGCATCTCGTACTTCATTGCATCCACACCCTCCTCCTCCTCTACCCCCTTTGCTGACCGTTGACGACGAGGTCGTGAGCGATCAGCAAAGAGGAGGAGGAGGAGGAGGAGGAGGAGGAGGAGGAGGAGGGTGTGGATGCAAGGAACCACAAGATGCACAAGGAGGAGAGGATGGAGGAGGAGCGGAAATAAAGGACGACTTTGACATGCTACAGCCTTTCCCCCCCCCCCCCGATTAGAAGGCACGTCCATTATCTGTGTATCTACACAGAAAGTTGCTCCTAAAAAAAATTACGGCCAGTTCCAAAATGGCAGTGCGTTCTCTTCAAGGGGCGCTCTGTTTCGGGGCAATATCCAGTTTGTAACCGGGATTGGCTTTTTCTATTTTTTTTCCAGACATCACCTCAGAGTCTATGTGGCTGTCGTGATACTTCCCTTGGGATGACCTTTTTTTTTTCCCCAAAAAAATGGCTTCCCACAAACCCCCAGCCCCTTTTCACAAGAATAGGCCACGTGACGTAAATAGAGGCCCGATGGCGTGTTCTAGCCTCCTGTGCTGGCGTGTTCTAGGCTTCTAGCGATAGAGAAGTCACAAGAAAAAGAAAAAGGGAAAAGAAAAAAAAAAGTCACAAGAAAAAATGGCTTCCCGCTAACCCCGGCCCCTTTTTATTACAAGAATAGGCCACGTGGATTCTAGAGATAGAACAGTCGTCTCTTCTCACAAGAACAGGCCACGTGGCGTAAATAGCCTAATAGGGGCTTGCTTGGTAAGAAAAAATTGGAACGATACAGAGAAGGGTAAATTAGCAAATGGCCCCTGCGCAAGGATGACACGCATAAATCGAGAAATGGTCCAAATTCAACAAAAAAAAAAGATCGGAGGAGTACGTATCTACGGGCTGCTCGCTACGGATCTGTTCGGGAGGACAGGGAGGGCCACGTGGCGGAAAGGTTTCGTAAAAGCGTTTTGCTTCAGGATGGTAGAAACGGGAAAAGAAAAGAAAAAAAAGGAACAAAAGAAAAAAGAAAAGAGGAGCTCAATCCCCTAAGAAGGGGTGGCTTAATTTTTTTCCACCTTTGTGGCAATGGTGTCCAACCAGTGTGATGAACAGCATCCTGCTTGCCCTGAAATATAAAATAATGATGAGAGAATGAAAGGAGATATGCAACCGGTCATGAACATGCGACATGGCAAACGTAATGGAACTGGAGCGATGGGCGTAATGGAAGTGGAGCGAAGAAGCCCATCACTTTCCCCTTAACGTGGCAGCAAAGGGGAAAAAAAAAAAGAACCCAATGCTGGCCATGTCGGAAAGGATCTGACCCTGCAACAAAGAAACAAAGAGAAGAAGAGCAGAGAGGGAGAGAGAGAGAGTGAGAGAGAGAGAGAGAGACTGAAAGGATCTGACCCTGCAACAAAGAAACAACGGGAAGAAGAAGAGCAGGAAGGCACAGA